TGTCGCGCCACTTAGTCCATGATACACAGCTCTATGATGTGACATGCTATCATCTCATCTCATCTATCTCATCACCCTCTTACTTGCTTACATGACATCACCCTCTTACTGGGCGGTGGGGTAGCCTAGTGGTTAAAGCGTTCGCTCCTCACGCCGAAGACCCGGGTTCGATCCCCACATGGGTACGTTGTGTGAAGCCCATTTCTGGTGTCCCCCGCCGTGATGTTGCTGGAATATTGCTAAAAGCGGCTTAAAATCAAACTCAGTCAGTCAGTCAGTCAGTCACCCTCTTACTTGCTTACATGACATCACCCTCTTACTTGCTTACATGACATCACCCTCTTACTTGCTTACATGACATCACAAGCCCATTTATGGTGTCCCCCGCCATGATATTGCTGGAATATTGCTAAAAGCGGCGTAAAACCCAACTCACTCACTCACTACATGACATCACCCTCAGAACAACAAAGCTTATTTTGAAGAAAGCCGGTCTTTTGTTGGAAAGGATTGTTATTGTTATGATGACGAAAATTCCAAGCATGATTAAGATGATATGTATGCTTACCAAATCTGAATAACAATATGCCAATTCTTCTCATGTGGCCAATAGAAGATAGTGATATCCATTTTTTGTGTCGGCCACTGTATCTTTATCTGATCCAGTGCTTTTCTATGGCCATTTACACCAAATATTGTGTGCAGATCAAGTCTGAATTATTTTTTGGGGTCTCATGAAAAGCGGATGTATCGAGCTGAAATTTGTGTTTTACGCCGCTGTTGTTTATGAATACTTTTTTTTTGTCACCTGCCGTAACATGGAATGGGTTACTATGTATTCACAGGCATATGGTGACAGCCTACATTGGGGGATTACGCAGATAGCACTCGATCTGGGTGACCTTGACCTTATCTTCAAGGTCACCGCTACACTTTGACCACTTTTCAAACTCTTGTTGGCGCGAAATCTCATGGACTGTTGTGCCCAGTGGCTTCAATTAATTTCGTGACAGCCTACATTGGGGGATTACGCAGATAGCAGTTGATTTGGGTGACCTTGACCTTATCTTAAAGGTCACCACAACACTTTGACCACCTTTCAAACTTCTGTGTACACGAAGGGGCGGTGGGGTAGTCTAGTGGTTAATGCGTTGGCTCGTCACGCGAAGACCCGGGTTCGAATCCCCACATGGGTACAATGAGTGAAGCCCATTTCTGGTGTCCCCCGCCGTGATATTGCTGGAATATTGCTAAAAGCGGCGTAAAACCAAACTCAGTCAGTCAGTCAGTCTGTGTACACGATATCTCATAAAACATTGCAGACAATATCTTCAATTATGTTGACAGCCTACATTTGGTGATTGTGTAGACACCAGTCATTTCAGGCATCTTGTATGTGACCAAAAATTAAAAAGTAGTAAATATGCTATACATATTCCATTCTTTTACGACAGGGGACATTGCCATATCAGTGGCAAAGACTTGTTATGAGAAGAGGTCACCATGATGATATTTTTTAGCATGATTAAAATGATATGTCAGCTTACCAAAAGTCTGATTAGCAATTTCATTATGTTCTTTTGAACTGTCCGGTATAAGATATGCTCATCTTTTCTATAGTGTTGAGCATATGACAGAACATCTTCAGCTGTGTTAAAATGTTCCTGTTCGGTGGGAAACCCTTTTTTGTAATGGCAAACCTTTGCAAATCATTTGCCTGTCCTCGGTCCCGGGGTCATTATGTTTGCTTGCATTCACCCTCAGAACAACAAAGCTTACTATGAAGAATGCCGGTCTTTTGTTGAGAAGGATTGTTATTGTTATGATGACCAAAATTCCAAGCATGATTAAGATGATATGTATGCTTACCAAATCTGAATAACAATATGCCAATTCTTCTCATGTGGCCAATAGAAGATAGTGAGATCTATTTATTGTATCGGCCACTGTATCTTTGCCAGTGCTTTTCTATGTCCATTTACACCAAATATTGTGTGCAGATTGTCTGAATTTTTTTTGGGTCTTATGAAAAGCGGATGTATCAGAGCTGAAATTTGTGTTACGCCGCTGTTGTTTATGATTCCATATGAATACTTCTTTTTTTTTCTTTTTTTTTTGGACTATGTATTCAGCGGCGTCCGTCCATCTCGATTCTTGTTAATTAGGGCTGGATATTGCCCTGATTTTCATATTGCAATGTATTGCAATAATTTGAGAGATATTGCAATACATATTGTGATATATTGACTGGAAGGTTTCTGCCCAAGTGTGTACATCATAAATTCATAATAGCTCTCTGTGTGCGACATCATCTTCTTAGTTGCTGTTACGCCATACTTTCAGGCTCCCCGACCCCATTGTGTACGGCTGTATGCCAGTCGTTTACAGATAAATAAAATTATACAGAGTCTTAACATGGAATGTTTAATTGAAGTATTTCAACAAAGTTTTGCGAACATAATACTAAAGGCAATAGTATAACATGATTTTCATGGTCAGTGTTGTTTGCTTCACCAGAATGCACTTCAATGCAGTATGTAATTATTGTTACTGTATGTAATAACTAAAATCCTTGACTAGAATGTCATTATACAGTCCTACAAAATTAATAAGACTTAGACCTTTATGATAAATTGATGTCAAATGTCCCATTATGAAACAAACAAAAATAACAAAATACTGTGAATTGTGAAATGGTCACTCAGAGCCAGATGCTCTACTAATAAGTCCAAATAAAAAATGGTCCATTTGAGGCCACTTAATTCCTCCAAATGAAACCATTCAAACCCACAAAATGTAAAGCATTTGGTAGAATATTTGGCACTTATAATGACACTTCCACTTGTAAAATGTTACATGAAACCAAGAGAAATATTTAGCACTTTTAGAGCACATTTTTTGCTGTGGAAATCAAGGGCAGATAATTCAAAGAGAGATAACTCTGGATGACAATATATTGAAGAATCTGAACCATATCGCGATTTTCATATCAGCCTAGCCCAAACGTCCCCGGGGTAAGAATATCCTAGGACAAAATATTCCCGGGGAAAGTTTAGACCGGGGAAGGAATGGCCTGCTACACCGGTAATATTGCACAGCCCTATTGTTATGCGATATCTCATCAAGTGTTGTACCCAATGTCCTCAAATTTTGTGACAGCCTACATAGGGGGAAAAGTCTGATAAGCAATTTCAATATGACCTTTTAAACTGTCCGGTGTATGATAGCTGAAATTCGTGTTTTATGCCTCTGTTGTTTATGAATACTTTTTGATAAGAAGAGGTCACTATGTGACTGATATGATGTCAAATGTTAAATCACTCACTTGTGTAAGAATAGTCGTTGCCCCAAAAAGTTCTGAAGCCATTCATTAATTAATTACTTCCACTTCACAAGAAATTTTACTGACCCTTGGGTCAGCCGCCTAAGTTTTACCTTGCCACCCATGGACATGTAAATCTTACTTGAAACTTTTGTTTGGGACTGATTGTCATTGTTATAATGATGAGATTTTTGAGCATGATTAAAATGATATGTCAGCTTACCAAAAGTCTGAATAACAATGTCACTGTCCTTTTTAAACAGTCCGCTGTAAGATAAACCTGTCCTATTTATAGTGTTGAGCATATGACAGAACATCTTTTGCTGTATTCAACTATATATTTTTGTATGAAAACATATATTTTATTTCAACCAAATCACAACATCTGAATCATTAGTACCAAAACTCAAGCATTTATGTATAATATTACACTGAGCAGTAGGGGTGGGTATTGCAGAGAATTTTCATATTAGATATATATTGCGATCTATTATATTGCAATATGTATTGCAATATATTTGTTTTTAACAAACAACTACTTATAATCGAGTTAATGCTTGATTTATAAAGCGAATCCACAACAAAATCACTATGCTTGATTAGGCTTTAATAGAAAGTTTTAATCATGACAAAATGAAAATGTAAATAATGTATGGCACAAATAAAACAAGGAAAGGAATAATTTAAAAAACGGAAATATCCGAAGATTTCCGAGTGTTACGAAGTTTTCCGAATGCATGTCAAAATACCGGTTTTCGATCAGCGTATTGCAATACGTATCGTTTTCATGCCTGAACCGGTATACCGGTTATATTGCTTATATTACGCAGCCCTACTGAGCAGCAGGTGCAACAAAGTCATTAATTGCGGTTTAATTGGGTGCATTGTGATTTCCTTAATTGAGCCCTGCAAGATCTGATGTTGCATTATCTGATATATTACATGATGTGATAGTGGTGTAACGATTCATCGATAGTATCGATGTTTACATCGTCAACTTCGCAACTATTGCATGATGTGACATGGCATCACCTATTTTTTACATGTGCGACATGACACCATCTGATATATTACATTTGATTACATGTGACACTACATCATTTGATTTATTACATGATGTGACATGCCATCATCTGATTTATTTGATTACATGATGTGACATGCCATCATCTGATTTATTACATGATGTGACATGCCATCATCTGATTTATTACATGATGTGACATGCCATCATCTGAGACATGCCATCATCTGATTTATTACATGATGTGACATGCCATCATCTGAGACATGCCATCATCTGATTTATTACATGATGTGACATGCCATCATCTGATTTATTTCATGATGTGACATGCCATCATCTGAGACATGTCATCATCTGGTTTATTACATGATGTGACAGTGTTTCCGATAGTTTTATTTGCCAGTTTCCATCAGGGCTAGCTGCCGCCTGCAGGATTTAAAATCTACAGGCCATGAATGAAACTACTTCAACTTGTTTATATTTCATAGAAACTATTCATTCATTTGGGAAATGAGTTCAAATGAGACAATTCAAAGAGAAAAAAACTATTGCAATAGTATTGCAATAGTTGGTCACAATAGTTGTTTACCCTTACCAATAACATTATCAGACATGTTTCATGGTCTAATGGTTTCCATGATCTGTTTTCAGGGTCTAAGCTGAAGATGGGACACACAGGTCCTCCACCGATGAAGTCGGATCGAATCTACATCAATCCGGGGGAGGAGGATCAAATGGTAGGAACTGTTGCCATGGTGATCACACTGCTGGCAGTATTGTTAGTTTGAAGAAACTATTCAATTAAAAATGTCAAGCAGATTTTGACAGAACTGATGAAAAAGGGCGAACTGAATGCAGGGAAAGAAACCTTTCAAAATTTCCCCACTAGACCACAGGACCAGTGAGTGGACGATAATTAGTGGTCCTGTCTGTACTTCAGTGGTCCAAAATAACATTCGTAGATTTTACTAACTATCAATACAAAATTCACAAGCCACCAGGACCACTGCATACTTTCCATTTAGTGGTCCAGATGAATTTTTACTAGCCACGGACCACAGGACCAGCGTAAATTTCGCACACTGAATGATGCAGTAAAACTATCATACAACCAGTTTGCCTGATTCAGAAAAATCTGTTTTGAAACATTCATTTTTCAGTGTGTGACTTTCAGCAGTGTATTGTGGGTTCCAAGGCAAAACCATGAAGGTACTAGCCTGGAATCTGTGACGGGCTTCACATGATTTCAAAGAATTTTATTGATTTATTTCATATTACTGCAAAGGTTCTGTAGCCTTTAGCTTGCTATAGAGAAGGGGAAAAAAGTTTTAGTTTGAGAAACTCAATAACTGACACCCTGATTTTTCAGTATATTTCTAATCTGATTAGAAATGGTGGACATGTGAAGAACAAGCAACAGATATTTTAAAATTATTATTATTATTTTTTTTAACCATCTTTATTTCCATTCACAATATACTAAATGCTTGAAATTTGGAACTTGTTTTATTTTTTGTGTATATATTACCTGTTTCACAACAAGACATATTTTTTATAAAATTAATGGTTCGAGTAGCCATTCTTTTCAGCATCCTAAGGTGCTTGCAATGTTAACTAAGTGCATCCATTATCATCTTGTACCTGTGTGAGATGACAGACATGTGGTTCCTTGTTTTCCTGTCAATGCTTTTCATGGAGTAGCCTAGTGGTTAAAGCGTTAGCTCTCCATGCCAAAGACGCGGATCCGATTCCCCACACGGGTGAAGCCCATTTCTGGTGACATTACTGTAATATTGCTAAAAGCGGCATAAAACTAAACTCACTCACTCATTAAGCAGTGGAAACTGACAGATTGATAATGTCAACTGTTGTCCAACAATGATGTAAAATTTTGCACTTGATCAATTACTGGTTCATGATTTACTTGAATATTGTTGAGGATGAATTGAACCAACTGAAAGCAAGGCTTTTCTAGACCTGCTCAGAAGACTGTATGACAAATTAGAAATTTTCCGATTCTTGTTGGAAATTGTAGTTACAGTTTTGTAGAAGTGATTAGTGTATCATTGACCAAATTTAACCTAAAGTACTGTCGGAAATAGAAAAAAACTGTTTTTAGGCTGTTACTCTGTATCCCTAAAATTACTGCAAATAGCATATGTCGAAATAACCTACTTCGGCCTAACTTGGCATTCAGTGGGATGCGTAATAGAATATCCAGAAAAGCACGTTTACTCGTAAAATCGGGCAAAACTTAGAAAAAATACGAATAGCTGCTGAAAACTATAGATCAGACTATAGATGGCAATTAGGTCGCTCAGCCAGGTATGACAACGGACTGTCGACTCACCTGGCATGAAATGCACGTGCTGCCTACAGGCACAAGGGGTCATCTCAAAGATATTTTGTGCTTTTGTGTGTTGACTATGCCTCATCTATTGATTAACATCTTACATGTCTTTCTTTCATGAAGTTTATATTGAGATATGTAAAACAGTATGATACCTGATAACCATAGAAACGCATCGTATTGAATGTATTAGGTGGCATGACCACCCGATCGCGAAGATCGACAGGACTGGATATTATTTGTAAATTGTTATGACATGCCTTGTGCTTCCCCAGTATAATTGCCCTAAAGGATTATCTTATCTTAGCCGATATCTCTATCCCCAAGCCCGACCCCAACGATCGTTTGCGACACCCGTCCAGGTTTTGCTTTTGAGACAAACCCTCCTATCTGTTGCTTTTTATAGTGACAGTAAGACTCCATGGTAGCTACATCCTTAATAGTTTCAGCATGAAAGTTATTATTTTTCACGCCAGCTATCGTTTATAATAAAGCTACATCTAATTTCAAATTGGGCCTTTAAAAAGTGTCCTTTGTAATACAATATCGTCGCACACTAATTTGCATAAAGCCATGGTCTGTTCCATATAAATCTCTTTGGACTTAGAAAAAAACCCCATTGCTCATTTCTGTACTAATCTCTCTTCAGTAAAGTCCTTTTTCTACGTTTCTCATGTCCCTACCACTGAGACTTGTAGTTAGGCCGAACTTAGTTTAACAGATATTTCACACTTGCACATATCAACTACATAAAAATTGTAGAGATAAATGAGAAAATACAGTTTTTTTTCTATTTCCGACAGTACTTTAGTGACAATTTTATGCTCTAATTGCCATGGATCTATGTGCTATTTTTCAAACAGCCTGTCATTTTTTCTACATCTGTCATCTAAACATGCTACTTAATAAACGCTTAACCTATTTCAATGATAATAAGCCTGTCATATGTTCATGCATAGTATTATCCACTGCAAAACAGGAATAAATGTTACTGTAAACAGCTTTGTATTCAGACATAGCTGTGGTTGATTTGACCAGTCTTTTTCCTGTGTTCATGATTGTGGTAACATTGATCAGGTGTGTTCATTCGTGAACTGATAGCTGTTATCAGAATAAAGGGAAACAAGGGCATAATGTATACCAACAGCTGTTCCCTGATGTGTCCAGCATTGAAACTTTACACCAGCAAATTGATTAGATTCGTAGGGCAAATATATATATTATTATATAATTTATAATTAAAGTTAAATAAGAGACCAATCAAGTTATTTCAGAGGGTGGTTTGGTTGGACTGGGACCTGTTTTGTATTTTGGGCTGGGAGTAGTTTTTCAGACACATCTATTTTCAGTGGGAGAAGGCGGGAGTGTCAGCTTCCCTTTCAGGATGTTCTCGTAACCAGAATCCCACCCAAGCACATGCAACCATGTTAACCAGAATCCCACCCAAGCACATGCAACCATGTTTTACAGAAAATCTACCCACTCCGACCAATACATAAACTTGAGTCCAACCATCCCTTGATAACAAATACAGTGAAACCTGTCTAAACCGGCACCCCACAGGACCGAAATAAAATGCCGGTTTTGACAGTGTGCCGGATTAGACAGGTGCCAATGTTGGCAGGTTTCACAGTACTAGCATAGCATAGCATCCTCACTAGACGAGTCATCAATCTCTCCACCCCCACCCTTATCACAGAAATCTAGTACCTTCGCCATGTTTTCACCCAGTTTTACCCAATCTAGACGACAAAATCATCAGCACCACCCTTCATGCAGCAGGTACACCGGCTGCCAACAAATCCTAAGCAGCACGCTTCCATATCTCTCCCCCTTCATAGGAAACACCTCCCACCACATCAGCCATCTCCTTAAGCGACAAGCTAACATCTCCACTCACTTCACCAGCTCTGCACCACCTAAATCACAACTTAGAGCCATTGGCAGCAACACGTCTAAACAGGAAGAACCTAAAGATGTTGTCTACAAAATCAGCAGTGAGTGGCGAGGCCTTTGTAGGTGAAAATTCCTACCCCATAAACATCAGAATCATAGAATACTTAAGATCTACCACCAAATCAGACATTTCAGACCACATCATCAATTGTCCTAACCACAACATCAAGAGGGACAATGTAGAAATATTATCAAGAAACCTCCAGAACTTCTCCATAAGAAAACTTGCAGAAGCAGTTCCAATCCGCCGATACAAGTCATCAATCAACAGAGTCCAAGAGTCCAATCTCATTCACCTACAATGAACTTATAAAACAATAGAGCACTCCAGACTTGATTATTTACACACTGAGCAGGGTGGAAATAACCCATTGCCCGACGCACGAGTCCAGTGTTTTTTCTGTCGGGCAAGCAAATTTGTATATCACACTGTACCCGTGTCCAGTTATTCCAATGTTAATTATGTTGTTTATTTAAAAATCAACAAGAAAATGGCCGGTATAGTGGACAAATTATCAGGGCAAGTGATTTTACATGTGCCACTGTACCGGAGTACACTAACAATTTTAGAGTTATTTCCAGACCTGCTGAGATATCTGGAATATTGCTGAGTGTGGTGTTAATCAATGAATGAACAAGCACAGCATTTCACCAAAGTGGTACAGGGCTACAGATAAGGGGCGTACAGGCATAATGTATGCCTAAAAATCAACGACATAATATAAGATTTCAAGCGTATCATGTACACACATAAATTCCTTTGTACGTCTAACATATATGAAGTTTAATAGCTGAAAAGTTGTTTAATGTTACAAATAACAAACCACATCACCAACTCGCTCACACAAAAACATGTCAGTACTCCTTCAAAATTCTCAGTACACCTCCACTTGCAATATGTAAGAAACACATGTATGCTTGGTTATTGAGAATGCCATATCCATGATACAACACCTCAAATAGGTCCCAAAAAGAAGGTTGGCAGCTTGATCCATAACGACATGGACATTGAAAGATAGTCATTTGTGTCAAGCAGCCTGGTCAACATGTACCAGGGGCGGTGGGTAGCCTACAGGTTATAGCGTTCGCTCATCACGTCGAAGACCCCGGTTCGATTCCCCACATGGGTACAATGTGTGAAGCCCATTTCTAGTGTCCCTGGCTGTGATATTGCTGGAATATTGCTAAATGCGGCGTAAAACTACACTCACTCAAAATGCCAGTTCAATCTGAGTTATCATTCAATTGGTTCTCTCATGAACCAATCAGAGCAGGGTTCACACAGGCTTGAAAAAGACATTTTAGCATTTTACTCTAAAAAGGCCTTAAGTTTGTTTTAACCATGAAAAGGCCCTAATTGCCAGTGATTTGTCCTAAAAAAGGCACTATAAAACATGTCAAGTTATAATTTGTCAGGAAATTTATGCATGATGAAAATACCTTGCAGTGACAGTAGGCATTAAATTAATCTCCATCGCAAAGCAAAGCTTTTCCCTTCATGGTCAGTCCCACATTTGACAACCTTGTGTGTATTCAACAAATTGTGTGTTATGTGTGTTTCTATATTTGCTTGAAGTTGTTGATAAGGCCTTGAAAAGCCCCTGGTCTTCAATTTAATGGGTGATAATCTGTATTGGAGAGCATGTCCGAATTCGAACAAAGATGAAAACAATTCACTGCTGTCATTCTGATTTGTTGAACCTGCCGCAAATGCACCTTTCTGTAAATTCTTGGTTTAATGTGTGCCTTGAAGAAATCCTGTATCCAGTGACCCTTAAAATGAATCACCAGTGAAGGTCCGTGTTACAACTGGTCTTCAGTAACCCATGCTTGTAGAGGCGACTAACGGGATCGGGTGGTCAGGCTTGCTGGCTTGGTTGACACGTCATTGGTTCCCAATTGCGCAGATCACTGTTTATACTGTTGATCACTGGATTGTCTGGTCCAGACTTGATTATTTACAGACTGCCGCCATATAGCTGGAATATTGCTGAGTGAAGCGTAAAACTAAACTCGCTCACTCACTCACTCACCTAAAATGAATCATTTTAAGAAGGAAAAAGTTCATGTTGTTGATTGCTCAAGGTGCTTCTGTCCCCTTTGGATTCCTGGTCGAACACGTTTGTCAGTCTGCAGACTTGTTTTGATTCCCCACTTGGGTATAATGTGTAATGTCATTTCTTTTTCATCTCCTGGGATATGGCAGGAATAATACATGTGAACTGAAGGAAACAACTGTTCTTGGTCTGTCGTGGGTCAGCTCTCCTAAATACAGCCTGCACAAGGTTTAATTGTTGAGGGACAAATACGACCATGTTACTTTAGTCAGGACTTAGGAATAAGAAATTCCTTCTGTTATTGGGAAAACGTTCATCATAGAAATTGGTTTTGGGGAATGTGTAGAAATTATACTTTGGGGGAATTTTTTTAATGGTTCATGACAACGTTCCTTCTCTGCACCTGTCACTCACTCACTAATGTTATTTCAGGAAATCTCCGGGTTTAGGCCCCATAAGCTGAAGACAGCTGTCGTGTGGTTCTTCATCATCATCACGGTCGGCCTGCTGCGACTCTTCTTCTATTGGCTCCCACACCTGTTTGTAAAGGCTACCCACTCCAGGTGCTCACTGGCGGTTGCTACGACAGTGTTATTGAGGGTAAGTCCACCTACTCCAGGTGCTCACTGGCGGTTGCTACGACAGTGTTATTGAAGGTAAGTCCACCCACTCCAGGTGCTCACTGGCGGTTGCTACGACAGTGTTATTGAAGGTAAGTCCACCCACTCCAGGTGCTCACTGGCGGTTGCTACAACAGTGTTATTGAAGGTAAGTCCACCCACTCCAGGTGCTCACTGGCGGTTGCCACAACAGTGTTATTGAAGGTAAGTCCACCCACTCCAGGTGCTCACTGGTGGTTGCTACAACAGTGTTATTGAAGGTAAGTCCACCCACTCCAGGTGCTCACTGGCGGTTTCTAAAACAGTGTTATTCCTCCACAGAGCTGATATGAATCAATACAAATGAAAAAGTTTTCAGAGCTCAAGTAAATACTCTCAGTTTTAAGTTGAAATAATGCTGTGGCAATTATGTATTTGAACTCTGCCAACTCACCAGTTTGATGTATTTTCAGGATCAGTACAAACAATGGTTCAAGTCAAATGTCTGCACTATGATCACCAGAGATGGAACATCGTAAGTATTTTAGATTCGCCAGGGTAGGACCTATTTCTTGCAGGGGGCGGTGGAGTTTCTAAGTTGTTAAGGGGCGGTGGGGTAGCGTGGTGGTTAAAGCGTTCGTTCGTCACGCCGATGACTCGGGTTCGATTCCCCACATGGGTACAATATGTGAAGCCCATTTCTGGTATCCCCCGCCATGATATAGCTGGAATACTGTTAAAAGCGGCGTAAAACTAAACTCACTCACTAAGTTGTTAAAGCTTTCACTTGTCATGCTGAAGGCCAGGGTTCGATTCCCCACATGGGTTAAATGTGTGAAGCCCATGTCTTGTGTCCCTTGATATGATATTGGTGGAATTTTGCTAATCCCTTGACTTATATTGGTGAAATATTACTAAAAACAGGCATAAAACTATATGCACTCCCTCAGTCATGCAGGGCGATTAATCCCTGGTGTTGGATAGTTTTATTCCAATGGAGGCATCTCTCCCCATATGTTATGTCCTGGTTCAACTCGGCAGTGGTTGTAAGGAATCGATTATTTGATATTTTAAGGGGCTTGATTTAAGAAAATAAATTGGTCGAGAAATTACCTTAATTAAATGTTTTCTCTTAAGTTGTTCACTGGATGTTAAAAAACTGTTTGTGTAGTGGGCAGAAACAAATAGTATGTCTTGAAGCAGTTTCTCTTTCCAAAAATCCTATTGACTGCAGGTAGTTTTGCATCTCCTTCAGTATTGCTTCACACACATCAACTTAATTTTGGAATTGTCTAATTTAATGTTAATTTGTTGCATATGTCATTGCATTTGAGATCTAAATGTAAATATGTAGTGCAGCAGGATCTCTTTAAGGTCGATGTTAAGCAAGATTTTACCTCTGTTCTTTTGTTTTGGGTCCCTGTTACTGTCTCAGAGTTAGGGTTCGTTTAATGTTACTGTGCAATAGTAAAGTGCGATTCACTCTTTGCAGTAATGTGAAGCAATTCTGGTGTCCCCCGACATGATATTGATAGATTTTTCTGTAATATTGCTGAAAGCTGAAACCAAACTCACTAACTCAATGTTTTCATCTGTTGCAGAATTGACCCATTGAATCCAGACAAGGCTATCTCATACAACTCCTCAAATCAGAAATCTAATCTTCAAGCTGCGGTTCGTATTTTCATTAATATTTGGGATTTTTATGAAGGGTTTAGTTATCCAGACCTACCCAACATTTTTATCAACACTGGAGCAGAGGTCCAGATAAGCTGCATATCCGGGTAAAATACGCATATAAATTTCCAATAACGCATTGAAAAATAATTGTTGCGTAACAATTACGCATTTATAATGATAAATACGCAAAAAGTTTAAAACAAATATGTACGGAATATATTTATAAAAATTGCTTGCGTAATGAAAGACATCGATTGCTATCAAGTTGTACTGTTTGTATAGGACAAGTGTTGTACTGTCAGTATAGAATGAGTGATTTTTTATAAAATCATTTCCATTATATTTAAGTTGGTTTTGATTAGGTATGACATAAGGCAGAACATACCTGCCTAGTAAACTTACTCAATGACATAATACTTAGGTGAGTGAAATGACTGAAATACGCACATATTTGAAAGCAGTGGGTAACGGAAAAATGAAATACCCACTCAGCATTCATAATACCCACTCCAAAAAAATACCGTGGGTACAGTACCCACATGAGCTAAATCTTATCTGGAGCTCTGCTGGAGAGTTTGGCAAAGTGCTTTGAAGTGTTAGAAGAAAGATTTAATGGCATGGTAAATTTATCCATATTTCTATGTCATTTGTGATGAAAGATTTGAAAATGACGTTTGTGCTTCCATGAATGATAAGAACAGGAGGGGAGTGTGAGGTTGCAATAGACTGTTCCAAGCAATGTATGATTCAATTCTGATAATTTAGGAGTCAGGGGGGGGAAATAACCCATTGCCCGACGCATGAGTCCAGTGTTTTTTTCTGTCGGGCAAGCAAATTTGTATATCACACTGTACCAGTGTCCAGTTGACTTTCCAATATTAATTATGTTGTTTATTTAAAAAATCAACAAGAAAACGTCCGGTATAGTGGAAAAATTATCAGGGCAGGTGATTTTACATGTGCCACTGTACCGGAGTACACTAGCAATTTTAAAGTTATTTCCACCCCTGCGAGTGCATGCAGGTTTAGTGCTGTGACTTGTAATTCATGGATACAGGGTATATACTCATGGCAGTGTCGAGAGTTCATGCATGATTTCCAGTCCTGAAACTGGACTGTTCTGTGAAACGGCTAAACAGTATAGTATCCTCACCCATTTCTTTATTAGGGTCATACGGGTTCGATTCCCCACATGGGCACAATGTGTTAAGCCCATTTCTGGTGTCCCCCGCCGTGATATTGCTGGAATATTGCTAAAAGCGGCGTAAAACTAAACTCAGTCAGTATTAGGGTCATCTGTTTTGATAAGTAGGGATAAAGCTAACAAAGATTAGGATCAGTTGGTCAAAATGGTGGATGTAATGCAAGTTGTAATGAAATTCACAGGTCGAATGACACTTCTCAAGTGTATACCATAGTAGGGAATATTGGATTAACACGATTGATAAAATGATGATTCCAAGGAGGAAACAGATGATGAAGAGAAATTAAGGGAAAAAGTGACAATTTATTCCATTCCTTTGGAAATGTTTCATCTGTATGGATATATATTACTTTTTCTCATATGCATTGGCATTGATTAGAGGTATGCTTGCAAAATGGAATATCCCATACTTTTTTTTAATGGTATATAACATGTAAGCAGCCCAACATTGCTGAGCACTGAAGAGGTTATTCTGCAACATTGGTCTGATACCTTGTTTTGGACACATTAACAGGGTTAAATATGTCTACTTCATAGTTATGTCTACCTGTGAAGGTCCGGGTTAGTTTTTGGCCTTCAGTAACCCACGCTTGTCGTAATATGCTAAGATCGGGATTGGTTCCCAATCTGGATCAATGGATGTTGTTGATCACTGGATTGTCTGGTCCAGACTTGATTTTTTACAGACCGCCACCATATGCTGGAATATTGCCATCACTGGAAAACTCTGGTCCACTCACTCACTTTTTACTCAGACTCACTCACCACTCATCACTCTGGTATCACTCACTCACTCACTCACTCACTCAACTCACTCACTCACTCACTCATAGTTATGTCTGTTTAGGTACAGTAAGAAGTCACAAACAGTTCTTGTTATAAAAACTAGAATTACAGATTGGACCTGTGACGATCAGGGTTAGAATTGGTCTTCAGCAACCCATCCTTGTCATAAGAGGCGATGGGGTCTGGTGGTCCGGTAACCGGATTGGGTGTGTCTCACTGACTTGGTTGACACTTGTCATCATATCCCAGTTGCATAGATTGATGCTCATGCTGTTGTCCTTGCTGGAACATGCTGCGTTAAACAACCAACAAACCAATCTGTCAGTTTGATCACATTGTAGTTACATGTTTTCTGTGAAGCTGGAAGGACTGCATGTTTTCTATCCAAATGTGAAAAGCTCAATCAGTGGATTAAATTCATGGGGTCAAGCCCAGAAATAATTGCAGTGGAGATAAATAAGGTGCCATGTATTTTCAGCATGCTGAGAATAAGATCAACTACTTCATCACAAAGAAGGTGAAATATATCTGGGACCCTGAACGTGATGAGTTCATCAGGCTCAAGTAAGTGAAGCATCAGGAAAAGCATATTACACCATGTCTTCATTCAGCTACCCATGCGTTATAGGCCTAGTGACTTGTGAAGAGCTGGGTTAGAATTGGTTTTGGTAACCCATGCTTGTCTTAAGAATAGTGGTGGTCCGATTAATTGAAATAAACGAAGATTGGTCGCAGTGACTAAACGACCAAGCAATCGGTTATGTTTTCTCATAATCGAACACAAACAATTCTGGAACACTTGTTGCATTAACAATGTATTTCACACGGTTGGTTTTGTCTGTTACATTTCATGAGCACTACAAGCTCATCCAAGTCATGATTGAATTTATCTTAAAGACCCCCAAGAAATTTATGTTCCTAACATACTAGTCATCCTTTAAAGATGAGCAATTTGCAAAAAAAACCACCAAAGAACTACATGTTTTTTCTTTATGATTTTGTGCAAACAAACATAACCAGGAAAATCTGATAAATGACGCTAACCAAATATTTTCGATGATTGATCGGTTGTAATGAACCAATCATCAATTATGAGATTTTAACCAATTCCCAACACTACTTAAAGAGGCGACTTGGGTCACACTTAGTTGATGGCGTCATGTCCCTATTGCAAAGATTGATGCTCATGATGTCAATCACTGGATTGTGTACAGATGTCAGTTATATACAGACTCTGGTATAACTGGAATATTGCTGAATATAGTGTCAAACAGCAAACCAAATATTGGCTCATACTTCCATGTTGATTGGGTAAGTGGAGTAGCCTAGTGGTTAAATTGTTGGCTCGTCATGCCGAAGACCCGGGTTCAAATCCCCACATGGGTACAATGTGTGAAACCAAACTCAGTCAGTCAGTCCATGTTGATCAAGTGTGTCATGAAACTACCCCTTTCTCATATTACACAAGCACACTGTGTGAAGCCCATTTCTGGTGTGTCCCGCTGTGATATTGCTGGAATATTGCTAAAAGCGGCGTAAAACTAAACCCTGTCTGTCATATTACACCAGAGAAATTTGTTTACTTTGTGTCTTGTTTGATAAAGACGACTTGTAATATCAATCTCCATTCCAGTCTTGTTTGTTGACTCTCTGTCATGCTGACGGGTATTAATCAGTTGTTAGTCTAAGGTCTCTAGGGGCGGTGGTGTAGCCTTGTGGTTAAGGCAGTTGCTTGTCACTCCGCAGACCCAGGTTCCACATGAATACAATGTGTGAAGCCCATTTCTTGTGTCCCCCGCCTTGATATTGCTGGAATATTTCTAAAAGCAGCTTAAAACCTCAATCCATCTATCTATCAATCAATCACTAAGGACTTTATTCTTGGTCTGATGACTGGGTTTACTGCGTATAGAGATACTTATCATATCAGAGGCAGGTCCAGAGGGGTGGGACAAACTTCCGAATCCCCCTTCGCCCCCGAAATTTTTTTCCCTTAGGAGCATTTCCCCCTGACCTTTGGACTTTACGATTAATGTGCACTCCACCTTCTCCAAAATCCTCGATCCGCCCCTACATATCATGCCTTCTGTACCGATATGTGTCGTATCTTGTGACACCTGTATCAGTGTTGTTCATTGTTCTCTTGGACCCGTGAAGGTCCCGGGTTAGAATTTGTCTTCAGTAACCCATGCTTGTCGTAAAAGGCGACTATGCTTGTCGTAAGAGGCGACTAACGGGATCAGGTGGTCAGGCTCGCTGACTTGGTTGACACATGTCATCGGTTCCCAATTGCGCAGATCGATACTCATGCTGTTGATCACTGGATTGTCTGGTCCAGACTCGATTATTTACAGACCGACGCCATATAGCTGGAATATTGCTGAGTGCGGCGTAAAACTAAACTCACTCACTCACTCACTCACTCACTCACTCACTCACTCACTCACTCACTCACTCACTCACTCACTCACTCATTGTTCTCTTGCCTCCTGCAGGGGTCTGGAGAAAGATAACCCATGCTCCTACTTCTACCAGTTGAAGGGGCTCTCCTATGAGGACCAACAAAGACGGTTTGTACATATTGTTTTGATATGTGACTAGTGGTTTGATAGACAGTAATGATCGGTGTAAAATAATGTTTTTATTTTATCTTGAACACATCAGCTTAACTCTAGTGCTTTCTAATCCTGTTATGATTCACTCGTGTATTTGATGAATTAAACAGTATCCCATCATGAATTCAATTCATTATTCATGGTCACTGGAATAGTAACTTGTTTGATTGAAAGTAATGATGAGTGGAAGATAATGTTTTAATTTTATCTTGAACTCATCAACTCAACAAAAGAGTGCTTTCTCCATGAAAGTATCTGTGTTTCATATTTTTTATATTCCAAGGCAAATCTATTTGTCACAAAACTAGAGAATGCATGGTAGGATGTCTCATATTCTTTCACAATTTATATCTATCTCTGAAAATGCTTAAAATATTGAAATTTATAATAGTTCAGTGTTTATTTCAACAGGATTGATGATGACTTATGCTTGTTTCCTTGCAGACATGTCCTGTATGGCCTTAATTCAATCAGAGTACATGTGACACCCATAATCAAAATATTGTTGAAAGAGGTGAGTAAAGATCATTTTTTGATGTGTTGATTTAAGTAAGTGTTATTGATACTGTAATGACTATTTAAATGGTGCAAACTTACAGAGTTAGTATTGATAATCCAACACAAGCAGGGATAGAAATGGATTTCCTGAACCCTATCATGACTGCAGGAATATTTGTCATGGACCTATAAACTCACTGACAAATTCATTCAGAACTAGTTTGGTATTTTTGCTCAAAGGCAGTTCTTCGATATTTATCGACAATCAATCGATATTTAGTTAATGATTAATGTTCTGTAAAATCTGTATTGTCAGCCAGCTGTCATCCACAGTACCATGAGATTTGCTGCAATAGTATGTAATGTCTGAAATTATGCAAGAAACTCAAGGATCCTTGTCATTACCATTATGTTAAAGTTAATAGATTTTGAGTGTCCCTACTATGCAATTCAACAGGAGGGGCGGTGGGGTAGCCTAGTGGGTAAAACGTTGGCTCGTAACGCCACAGACCCGGGTTTGATTCCCCACATGGGCACAATGTGTGAAGCCCATTTCTCGTGTCCCCCGCCATGCTGGAATAATGCTAAAAGTGGTGTAAAACTAATTTCACTCACTCACTCCAAAATAGAAATCCCTGTCATGTCTACTGACATTCCAAATGGTCACTTCCATGTTAGGTTGTGTGATTGAGACTGCCACCAATAAATGGTTTGATTTGTTGCAAAAATAGGTTTTGAATCTGTTGTTCTAATTTATCGCATATTCTGTAAACTGTATCATGGTGTTTATTATTTATGTAATTTTAGTGATGGCACATATTTACCATGCCATAGCATGCAGATAAAGAACTATTACGATCCCTGACATGCCTTATTTTTGGCATAATGGATGTCAAGCATATCCTTAAAACAGAGGGCTGTTACAATTCACTCACATATTCAGTGATTCAAATCCTATGCCTTTATGATTGAATGTTTGTGCTTTTGACTTGATTTTGTGTATTATTTATCAAAAGCAGATATGCAAAATTGTCATGATTAATTAATACTGACAGTGGATTCGTTGCAGCCCTACTGCCCATGTACCCATGTACATTATTGTTTAAATGACCCAATCATTGGTTGTGGATAAGAATGTTTTGGTTGGGGACCATCCAGAAGGTCATCTTCAACTTCTATTTTTGTGTGCTGTTATTGTTAGTAGTCCATGTATAATGTGTCACCGATTGATTATTGCAATTGGAGTGTGCATCTCTGCAATGGAATACTGTTCAAAGCCCTGTTAAATAATCTCACTCATATCTTGCCTTTGTTTTTCCACAGGTGATTTCTCCATTCTATGTCTTCCAATTGTTCAGTATGTGTGTGTGGTATGCTGATGACTACGAGCTGTATGCCAGCTGCATCGTCTTCATCTCCGCTTTCTCCATCATCATCACCATCTACCAGACGAGGAAGGTAAAGATTTCATCGCGTTGCAATACGTGGAAAGATTCGATCTTGAAGCTCAATTGTTCCCCCCCCTGAACACATCAGAATAGATTGTAAAAGAATGTGAATTAAGAAGACAAGATTAAGTTAATCTGCTGTCATTGTAATATAGAAAATAATGTGTGGCTGGGAAATATCGTTATCCATATTTAAACCGCATCACTGATAATATAACAAAAACTATTGTGATGAATAGGGTTTTGATTTACTCGCTCGATACACATAGTCTTTATTCATGGGCTGCTTCCAAATTATTTTCTGAACATTGCACAAAGACAATTTATCAACAATCAATATTTAGTGAATAATTACCGATATGTAAAATCTGTATTGATTGCCAGCCCAAGTCCACACTACCATTGCTGCAATAGTATGCAATGTCTGAAATTATGCCAGAAAGTCAAGGATCCTTGTCATTACCCTGAAGTTAATAGATTTTGAGTGTCCCCAGTATGAAATACAACAGGACAATACCTTGTGACCCATTGTTCCCCCCCCGGCATGTGACTCAGTGACCTGTTAAATCTTTAATGGATACCATTCAGATCTAGTTTATTATTAACAACGACCGATTAGCTCCCATTCTTATTTTTGTAACTCAGATGATCTGGTTAAATAATTATGCAATTTCAATGAAGAAAATAAATAAATCCCAAAATAATCCCAAACACAAACATGTTACTGATAATTCATCGTCATAATAATAAAATCTTACTTGTTTGAATGTAACATGTTTGAATGCTAAATTATATTGACTGTTGCAGATGCAGCGAGCATTGCGTAACACCACTGCCGGGTCCACTATTGTCACTGTGTGTCGTGGTAATGAAGGTGAGTCCCACATCGTAGACTCCAGGACAGATGTGCCAGAGAGAGCTGGAATATGGCTTACTTAGGCCCCATGGATTTGATATGGGCCCTGGGCACACAAGAAACCTTTGATTATGGGTTTTCAGCCCCCATCCCCTTGCTTGTGGATTATGTGGTAAACGTCTGAAATCATCACGTCACAAATAAATGTGAAAATCTGTAAAATCATCTTGAAATCTTTAAACTGAAACCGCTCATTCACACACCCTTGGGAAGTATCGGTCCCCAGTACACCTGTATGTATTGCTGTGGAGGTTCCTGGTCCCCAGTACACCAATATATATCTCTCTGTTGAGGTTCCTTGGAAATATAGTAAAAAACCTCTTGAAATCTAGACACTGATTTAGTACCTGTATGGAAAACAACCATCCTCCTCCTCATCATCAATCTCCTCCATTTGATATTAAGGGGCTCAGGCAAGGAGAGGCTTTTCGTGACATTGTTTTGGGTACTTTGGTACGTGAAGATTTTTCTATAGATTTCAGTTCCCACCTTTCATGTCCAAAAATGTATTCATAGCCAGCTTGTTTCATGCCTTGCAGTATATGAAGATATTTCCTCTGAGGACTTAGTGCCAGGGGACATTATTGAGGTTCCTCGACGTGGCTGTTTCATGCAGTGTGATGCTGTACTCATCAGTGGAAACTGTATTGTCAATGAGAGCATGCTTACAGGTGAGTGATTTAATCACAGAAACTGGAAAAAGTTGGTAAGGGCCCCAGAGTGGTATTATGTCCTTTGCAATGTCTGTTAGGACATGTGTAAGACTAGTGTATTTGTATATCACATATTGCATTTCTGGTGTCAATGCTAAGTGGAGACATAATTAAGAACATGTTTACCAATTAGAATTATATTGCATGCATGCACAATCTCTGAATTCCGTAGTTCCTCCAGCAATAAGCTGACAAGAACGGGCTGTAATGCATTTACAACAATGTTAGGTCACAAGTGTCACAACTCCACTGTTGCTGCTCAGGGGTAAAAAACATACTCACTTCCTGAGAGAAGACAACTTTCATGGATTTGGAGCAATACCAACTATCAGGTAGTCTAGTGGTTATGTGTTCGCTGTTGTGATATTGCTGAAATATTGCTAAAAACTCACTCACTCACATTTATGATGTCCCCACCACATCATGGGGGACATCACATCTTTGTTTCAGGCGAGAGAGTGTACCAATCACTAAAACACCTCTTCCAAATCCACAACTTGCCAGAGACCAGAAAGAAAACATATTTGACATCAAACAACATACAAGACACATTTTGTTTTGTGGTACACATGTGATCCAGACTCGTTACTACGGAAACCAGAAGGTGAAGGCTGTGGTCGTCAGAACCGGTAAGAATGTGTGTCTGTGATGAAGAATTGCATCCCAGTTCTGTTAATGGTGTCTGCAACTGTTGAATGTTGGGTTTATTCAAACCATTTTATTTGCATATACATAAAAAGTTGTTAATTATGTTTTGCATGCCATAGGGATGTTTCCTTTAACCACAGCCTGGTGATAATCCCGGGAGAGTAATTGGTAATTTTGAAGATCATCATACAAAAAGTCGGGATGATAGACAGTTATGTACATTGTATTGTGTAACTGAGCAATGTAGAACTGAAGCTATGAGACTGTTACCATAACCTGTGCACACCTTTATGTTTCAGGTTTCCTTACTGCCAAGGGTGAACTTGTACGTTCCATCCTATACCCCAAACCAGTGGACTTCAAGTTCAACCGTGACACTTACTGGTTTGTGGGGGTCTTGGCTTTTATTGCATCGCTGGGCTTCATCTACACTATTGTTTTGATGGTAAAGAGTTTTCATTCTTTAACATAGGACCAGTATAGTGTTTTAAATGTGCACCTCTGATATTGAGGTTTGGCATGTACCTTTCATTTCACAAGTTCTATGGTTAAAGTGTTCGCTCATCATGGGCACATTGTGATATTGCTGGAATATTGCTAAAAGCAGGATCAAACATCACTCACTCACACTGACATTGCTTGACGATAGAAGAATCTGTATCGAAACGTTTGCATCACCTGATGTGATTATTCTTGACTGTTTCCAGGTACAGGATGGAGAAGAAGCTGGAGACATCGTTCTGCGAGCCCTAGATCTTATCACCATCACCGTCCCCCCTGCACTTCCAGCTGCCCTCAGTGTTGGCATTGTCTTTGCCCAGCACAGACTCAAGAAGGGGAAAATCTTCTGCATCAGCCCTCGGGGGCATCAACATCTGTGGCACTCTCAACGTGGTCTGCTTCGACAAGGTCAGTATCACTCTTGCCTGTGAGACATTTGTAGCTGAAATGAATGTGCCGTGGTATTTCTGGATTATTGCTAAAACTAAAACTCAAATTTATGATATGGGACAATGATTACAGACTGGCACATTGACAGAAGATGGAATGAAGATGCAGAGTGTGGTGCCATCACCCAATGGCAGGTGAGATAAGTTTATAGGGTGGGGAGGGGAACATTTCCACTGGGGGAAAAAAAATGTGAGATAAGAAACCCTGAACAAAAGGTTTTTCCACAAGCAGACTTGTTGCTATGGAAATGCACGTCCTTATGCTATGGCTTAATTTCATCATGAATCTGTAAATGTACTTGAATACTGCTTTGCATTCAAGACAAGGCAATGCGGCCACACCCCATTTGTGTATAGGTTTTTAATGTGAGGTATTTAATGTGTACTATATATATTGCTCAGATTTGAGGAAGAAGTGAGGGATGTGAGCAGACTGAAACATGACCTGCTCATCTCTGCCATGGCAACGTGTCACTCCCTCACGATCATCGATGGCAGCGTCATGGGAGACCCACTGGATCTCATCATGTTTGAGGCAATTGACTGGGTAAGTGAAATTGAGTGAATTCTTATATTAAGTCAGTTAAGCGCGTAATTCATCCATCCATAAGTCCACCAACTCGCTCACCCATGTTTCAGGTGTTGGAGGAGCCCGGTGAGGAGGAGACAAGGTTTGACATGATGGTGCCCACCATTGTTCATCCCCGAACCAGGATTAACCGCAACTCTATCCCAGGTGACGACAGCCAGGTGAGAACAACAAAGCTAAACATGTTTCAGTTCATTTCCTCCTTTCCTTGTTAACTCATTACGGTCGAGACGCATATATGGGGCAAATTAATCAGCTCCTCACAGCGAGTGACGTTATTACATGTAAGCCATACAAAGGTATTTCAAGCATTTTTGTTCAAGCTGTTGAAAGTTTCATGTTGATTTGAATTGTCAGTTTTCTATGCAATTTACATGAGCATTCTGTAAAAAAATTTGTATTTGATCTGTGTAATTATCAAATCCGGTGCAATTATCACGTGTATCAATCAACTCTCTATTCATCCATCGTCAATAAAAGCTGGATAGTATATCAGTTACGTTATCGATACACATGCGTATAATCATTCAAGCAGATTACAGTAATGAGATAATTGAACGTGAAGTGTTATATCAGTGGACATCTTGCTTTATGGAGTCACGCCCCTCTCTGTGATGTTTATACATGCATGCACGCACATCTGTAATCTTATGAACCTTGTTTGCATTCAGTAAAGATATAGGCACGCCCACCTTCATAAATATTGGGTCAGTATAGTGTCACCTCGTGAATTCTGTAATGCGTGTACTCTAGTTTGGATAGTCATTCGTATCAAGGTGAAGATTATATTTACATGTACAGCAAACCATTATGTTTTATGTACTAGTTGTGTGCATAAAATGTATATGAAAATAAATACTACCTCTATTCAGTGGTTGGATTTCAATCGCTTTGTTTTACTTATCGAAAACACTAAAATGAGGACAAATAAACTCGCCAAAGTGACTATCTACTCCTATTTCATACATCGTTACATGATATAGCCAATTTCAGAAATTTCGCCAAAGCCCCGTCACCTATCCTTTCCTCTGTGACAGGTATCTCATGATACGATTGGTCTCAGATAACATATGACCAGCCACTACATTGAACAGTTGAGATACCGAACACGACATGTATTCACACCTGACTAGACTAGACTAGACAGTTTCCTGTGATCCCCGAAACCTGCCAGGGAAATCAGGTGTGACTAGCACTATTTAGTCTCAGCACAGAGAGTGGGCAATCAGCGAGGGCTTCCAGGTGTTGAGTAGTGATGGGGCTCTCGGGTGTTAATGGTGTTCATGTATGCTGGTAGGGTATACGTTTGTAACTGGAGTGGTTTGGTATATACCACAAAGGCAAATAGTTTCAGTTTAATGGCAATAATAAAATAAATACTTTGCATCAAAATACGGTACAATACTTCATGGGGCCAATATTATGTTTATATTTCAACATACACGTGTAGCATCATACAAGTACATAACATACTTATTTACAATATAATAAGAAAGAACCCTCACCAAGTGTATGGCACTCATCTCGTCACACATACATTTATGCAAAGTTAGGTGCATTAGTTTATAGAAATACATGTACACATGTTTAGGATTACCAGCAATAAATACTTACATATGTAAAGTACTGCTAACACCTAGTTATGCTACATATTACAAATAGTTAATTTGGTTTATATTTACCACACATAAACATGAAGACATAAATTATACAATCCAAATATAAACCTGTTATAAGCTGTTGTGACCAGTGACCAGACAGACTGAAGTGATAATGATAGCTGACCCACAAAACACCCTGCTATTGAAAATAAGCGGCCTGGGGCTGGGGCAAGACAATAGAGACAATAGATAACCGTGCTATTGTGAAAGTGAAGCAGGTTAGATTGAGTGGTTAAAATACATATATGGGTCATTCTCAAAAAAAGGCCAAATTCGTGCTATGAAAATACAAAGCATCATACTGAATTATCTCATTATTGTTTTGAATGGTCAACACATTAAAAAATGCGGTCATGATAATTTGCACACAGGAAAGTAATAAAATATTTTTAAAATAAAGCTTTTTAAAGTATCCACTGAAAAAACGCGTCAGTGGTGTAACAAGCATAAAAGTATTCTTTTTCAAACTTTGATGTCAGATAAGGAATTTTTCACATTTGTCATTATTTACAAACTTTTTCTATTTTCAAATATTTATTAAATCGTTTCATTATTCTCACATATTTAATTGTAAATTTGGCAAAAAGGGCTTGGTGTGAGAAGAATGTAATGGTAACATATGATATTTTTTTCTGAAATAACTTGTATACTTAAAACTGATCATGTTTTATGTATACAGTGGTATTAAAGCTGTTTTCAGTTTTCTTTTGAAATAATTAAATGTTAGCAAATATGCATGTTACACCACTGATATTTTTTGATATCGTGCCTGTTACACCACTGAACTTTCTGCAACTTACTGGAACAGTAAACCAAATCAACAGCCATATGATGCTTTGGATTACTTAATTATCATTGGAGAACGGATTTCCAACATGTGGCATTGGAAAACGATATCAACAGATTAAAATGTACAAATTCAAAGAATACTGTGACACCAATGACATGACACTCTAAATATAAATCCAAATTAATTGCCTTTAATTGATAATTAACAGATTTAAACAGCTCAACAGCAAATTCTGAACACTTAGATTTTAAAAGGTTTTTAAAAAATAATATACAAAAGCAATAAAATGAACAAATTGTAGTAATATTGTTACACCAATGACATTTTTTGTTACACCACTGATTTTTCTGAATTAATGGTCATAAAATATACTGGATAAATACAATGCAAAGCAGTTGAGTTTTGTGAACAAGTGACTTTAATGAACATTTTGTCAGTGGCGTAGCATTTTCCCATGTTACACCACTGACAGTTACACCACTGACCTATTCCCACTTTTATGAACTTTATAACAATTAATGCTCCCTAACCACAGACCACCTGGCATTGTTATGAAAAAGAACACATGAATAAGAAATCAACGTTACACCACTGACTCGATAAAAAGTTTTGATATAAAGTAGACTCACCAACTGCATCAAAATAAAATTTGGCCTCCACAAAACTTCTGCCACGAGAAGAAAGTCATCAGCAAAGCGACCATTTAGTGTTTCATATTTTTTACTCAAACGAGATAATTATTAATGTCACAAGCTTATATTCGTTACACCACTGACTGTGACATTTTGGACAGTCATTGTTGTCATTGTTTTCATTGTAATTATGTGATTATGTGTTTTCAATATTTCATGCTGGAATGTGTTTTTAATATTGTTGTTTCATTCTAAATCTTTAAAAAATATGTATAAATACCCTGGAATTTAAACTTTATGGTACTGCAAAGTAATGTCGCTGTCCACTGACAGTGGTTTTTCTTTCAAAATGATGATTAAAAACAATTTTGTCCCAAAAATAACAAACAGGTACACCATTTTACATCATTATGAGGAACAAAATACATTTTTCTTTCATAATATGATTTTGGAAAAAAAATTGAAACAATATTTTCAGAGCAATGTGTTACTAAGAAAGAAAGTAAGAAAGTTTATCCATAAACTTCCTTACTTTCTTATTAGTCACCAACTTCTAAATGTGTTACTGGGCAAATTTTGAGAATGACCCATACATACATAACTACACGTTGATGATTTCTTTCCAGCCAATGGGAGAAGACATCGGCGTGGTGAGACAGTTTACCTTCTCCTCCAGTCTACAGAGAATGTCGGTCATCACACGGAACCTCGGTGCCAACAACTTTGACCTGTTCGTGAAGGGCGAGCCTGAGATGATCACAAGTCTCTCCAAGCCTGAAACAGGTACGAGAGCCCTGGCTGTATCATGTTCAGTCCCTACAATGATAACGCTGCATGATGGATTCTTCCTGGGCTAACAGTATCACATGTTCTTATGCTGGGACAAAATAAGATAATATACTATTCAAATCATGGATTCAACAGAAAACTACAATATTAATAAGAAAATTCTTTTTGCATCAGTTTTTGGACTAACTTAGGGTTTCAGTATTGCAGTTTGTGGATCCCATACCTTCTATTGACATGTGTTGTTTATTTGTTCCATGATCTGCAAAATGGTTGATTGTTGGCATATTTGTCTATTTGTAATGAACGGAAATTTCCTTGCAGTCCCCGCTGACTTCCAGCAGGTGCTAATGGCCTACACCCAGCATGGCTACCGAGTTATTGCCCTGGCATGGAAACCCCTTCCACAGAAACTCAACTATGTCAAGGTGCAGCGAATCACCAGGTAACAAATTCACCCACCCATTTTTTTTTCATTGGATGGAAAAAGGTGAGAGTTTTGAGTATGTAAGCTCCTCCACAATTTGTGATTTGTCAAACCCACATATTCCTGTTATAATCAAAGACATTAAAAAATGTTGAACCACAAAGAATGTTCCTCTTGTAGGGAGCAGGTGGAGAAGGATCTCAACTTCCTGGGGCTGCTGGTGATGGAGAACTGCCTAAAGCCGGAGACCACCCCTGTCATCCAGACACTACGGGAGGCCGCCATCAGAAACATCATGGTCACAGGTAGGTGACACATCCAAGCCATAAATTATGGGTCTGGCGAAAATGAAACATCAATAATACCGCATATAAGCTATTGTAATCCATTTTTTCAGTACCAATATGTTTTCAGTCTACCATTCTCATTCACATTCTCGTGTGTTCTGCAGGTGACAACATGCTGACAGCTCTGAGCGTGGCCCGGGAGTGTTGCATGGTCGACCGAACTGACAGGATCATCGTGGTGCAGGCGTACCCACCACAGGACGGCAAAGCCGGGCCTCAAGTAGAATTCATGTATGCGGATGAGAGAGAGAAGAAAGTTGAGGAGGTTATGTCAGTTGTGAGTTGGAAGAATTTGTGTTTTTATTAACATTTTTACCATTTACTGTTGAGTGAAGCCTGAAGTTTTTTTGTTTTGTTGCATTTTTTCAAGCTCACCTGATGTTTCATTTTAAGCTAATAGCATCACATTTGTTTATGGGTCAGTAAAATCAAACTCCTGAAAATTGATTTAGTTTTTATTCAAACATGCAGGCTCAAATTTACTAATTGGCCTTTTAATTAATAGGGTGATGAAAAGTCCTGACCGTTACCACTTCTTAATCAGAATAAGGATTTTGAAATATAATTCATAAAAATGGCGTTATTTTGTATCTTTCATTTAATTACCACAAATAATTGCATTTTTCTAAAACATTATTATGCATATAGCTTTAAACAGGTAAAATTGTCTAAAATAAACATCTTTTGATGACACCAGCATAAAGAGGAATGTTTCATGTATTATCATGAATTAATTACAGCAGTCAATTAACACCAGTAACGGTTAGGACAATTGTGGTAACGGGCTGGACATAAACCTTAAACAATTTAATTCAACATAGAAACAGGTTACATGAAAAAATTATATCATTTACTTCAACTGCTAACCCTATTTTGGACAGACAGTGAAATGTGTATTAGAAATGTAACATGTTTTCTCCCATGCTGTGGTAACGGTTTGGACATTGGTTATTTCAATATGAATTTAGGCTTTTGAATAAAAAACAAACTAGCTTCTAAAGAATAGCCTGACTGACTGGTTTTACGCCGCTTTTAGCAATATTCCAGCAATATCACGGCGGGGGACACCAGAAATGGGCTTCACTCATTGTACCCATGTGGGGATTAAAACCCGGGTCTTCAGAAAAACACACCTGTCTAGGTTGAAAATCACTTATAATCTAAAGAAGAGTGCAATTGGGGAACGAAAATTGAATGAATAGTAAAGGTTGTGACATTATTGGTAATGGTCAGGACATCAGTGTAACAAATTCACTCTGATACCTTTAGTTTTTGTTAATCGTGAGATGGTAACACATATTTATCAAATACGAAGGTTTGGCCAACATATTAGCACCTAGCAAATATTCAAAGTAAATGGTTGGAATACAATTACTGCTACTACATTTGTCCAAACTGTTACCATAGATGTCAGATAGATAAGTAAATAGACTGTAACTATTATTTGTCCAAACCGTCAAGACAATTTTTAAGTAAATCTAAAATAAAAAAATGAATGATCCTTCCATTTCTGGGCAACATATCCATTGAAATTTAAAAAAACAAAAAGATATATTTGTCAAAAAATACATTGGTAACGGTCAGGATACAAAATCACAGGACAAGCATGTTACAATTTGTAGAAAGAATGCAGTTTGAGTATGCCTGTTCAATCTTTATTGGTATAATATGAAGTAGTTTGTTTATTTATATTTTGTGAACATTGATATTAGGACCGTCATGTCCGGACAGACGCAAATTATACAATTGTGTAGGTCCATTTCTGGGTCCTCCCTTCTGGCAGGATGAATATACATATATTGTATGTGTACTGTCTTTCAGGATGGACAGTACAATATCCAGATCGATATGGAAAACCAGCGGTTCCACTTTGCTGTGACTGGCAAGTCATGGGCAGTCATCAGACAGTTCTTCCCGGACATGCTTGCCAAGGTGAATAGAATCCAACCTGCAACCAGATATTTTGAATTTCGAAGTATGCAAAATAATCTGATAAATTGGATCAAAGCATTTTCAAGATACTATACTATGTATACTATTGTTTTTGCTTTCAGATTGTTGTGAGGGGAACAATATTTGCCCGCATGGGACCAGACCAAAAGGCTCAATTAGTGGAATGCCTTCAAACTCTTGGGTAGGTGAAAAGTATAAAAGTAGTTGAAAATATTTATAATACAACTGTTGCAACAACAATATTCTTGTCTCGTGTTTTAAAAAAAAATCCATTCTCGTTCAGAATAGAAAATAATGTAGCTCTCTTTGTTGGTTTTCAGTTACTATGTAGGAATGTGTGGAGATGGGGCAAATGACTGCGGAGCTCTGAAAACAGCGCACGCTGGGATATCACTGTCTGAAGCTGAAGCATCTGTAGCCTCACCTTTTACTTCCAAGAACCCCACCATTGAGTGTGTGCCTAATGTCATCAGGTAGGTCACCTACATCACTGTCTCATCTTCAGCAACCGAGGATTGGGTTGTCAACTTGGTTGACACATGTCATCTTATCCCATACTCAGTGATCACTGGATTATCTGGTCCAGACTTATTTACAGCGAACAAACAAGCCGCCAATTAATATCATGATCATGGTGTTGATCACTTGATTGTCTGGACCAGAACTGATTATTTACGAACTACTGCCATATAGCTGGTATATTGCTGAGTGCGTCATTAAACAACAAAAACAGTAGGTGAGGGGAGATGAAATAATGCCGAGCGCCAGGCAGGGACCAACAAGTACCATATTTTAACGTCGTTTGGTATGACACGGTCGGGGATCGAACCCGCAATATTCAACTCTGACCACTACACCACGGAGACAAAAACAGGAACTTCTATATCATAACATTTCCTACCTGTGTTGCAGGGAGGGACGAGCTGCTCTGGTGACGTCATTTGGCATCTTCAAGTATATGGCTTGTTACAGTCTCACCCAGTTTGTGTCAGTTTTGCTTCTGTACTGGGTAAGTTTCTTTTCCCAATATTCCTTTGAAGATGAATATCTTGCAATGAGCAGATCAAGATTTTTGTGGGAAATGCTCAGTAGAAAGATGGGTAGGGCTGGCTATTGATTTAGAAGCCAGTTTAAGAACGCTATTATCAATTAAATCCCTAAAGAAGTTTCATGTGACATTTTCTTAAGTTGATTCATAATCATTGTTACTAACTGTGGTGGGGCAGCCTGGTGGTTAAAATGTTTGTTTGTCTTGCCAACGTCCTGTGTTCGATTCCTCACATGGGTACAATGTATGAAGCCCATTTCTGGTGTCTCCAGCCGAGATATTATAGTGGTGTAAAACTGACTCACTTTCAGATTGGTGCCAACCTGACAGATCCTGAGTTTTTGTTTATTGATCTCTTCACCCTCACCACACTCAGTGTCACATGTGAGTATTTCTGCCAATTGATCTTTAGGGTTCATAAGCAGAAGGCGACTTTTTAGTTTTAGCTTTTCGCACAAAGGCGACGGTACCCTTTCAGTAATGTTTATGGGAGATGAGATGGGGGATGAGCATTGAGGGTGGCAACTAAATTTGTAATAATTTCTATGTGAACACTGGTCGTTCATGCTGACACTGATTTCGTGAAGTTATTGCCGAAATGATTGGTTATCATAAGAATTGTGAGTTCGTATCAATAGCATAAAACAATGTCAACAGCTACAGTACAAGTATATAGAACAAACAACAACCTTGATGGTTGGCAAGGAAATTAAATCATGATAGATGAACCTGAACCCATTGTTGCAAATGTCCAATGCATGTTTCTCATAAGTGATGCATGTTATAATATTTCTACTGAATAGATTGATGTTCATGTCAGTCCCTGGATTATCTCACCCCTGAAGACTGGGCCAGACTCATTTATTTACAGACCGCTGCCATGTAGCTGGAATATTGCGGCATAAAACTCAACTCACTGGATTATCTCGTTTGATTATGCTTGTAACATAACAGGACCAGATTTGATTATTTACAGAATAGCAGTACTGTTTGGAATCTCAGATATGCGTAACATATTGATTTCAGTTGGTCGAACAGAGCCTTTTGCTGAGCTGGTGAAGGAGCCGCCCCCCATCAGCCTCCTGGCACCTGGTCCCATACTGTCAATCATCCTACAGACGGTCATACAAACTGCTGCCCAAGTCTACTGCTTTCTGGATGTACAGAGACAGCCTTGGTAGGTCCTAAAATCCTAAATATGTTTGTCTATGCAATACCTGTGGTTTCACATTACATTAATTAGAACACTGTTCTGAGAAACATAGGTACTTCTCTTGGCCTGCAAGACCACCTCCGTGGTGTAGTGGTTAGAGCGTCCGCCCGGAGAGCGGAAGGTCGCGGGTTCGATCCCCCGACCGCGTCATACCAAAAGACGTTAAAATATGGTACTTGTTGGTCCCTGCCTGGCGCTCGGCATTAATGGGTACAACAAGGACTGGTCGGCTCGGAGTCGGTATAATGTGTCTGAGTGGGGTATTCATGCTTCACTGCGGCATGGTATATCAGTGGGCTAGCACTATAAAACCAGCTTAAGTCTGGGCTAGTACAAGCAGCCGCACATACACATACACACGCATGCACGTCGTCATATGAGCGAAATATTCTCAAGCACGACGTTAAACCCGATTTCACCTAACCTCACCTCACCTTGGTTTTTCATTGCATTTAGTCCTTGGGATACAATATTGTTCTTATGTTTCAGGTTTGAAAAGTTCATTGACCATGATGATGATGATTACTTGAGCTATGAAAACTCGGCTGTGTTCTATATCTCCTCTTTCCAATACATCATTCTGGCTGTAGCCTTCTCCAAGGGGGCACCGTTCAGGAAGACCATCTTCTCCAACTGTGAGTAGACCTGCAGTTATGACAACTGCAGCATTTCTATGGAGTAATAGGGCACCAGATAAGGGCCGTATTGGCATATGTATGGATAAAAAACATGCACGATACGGTAGGAAATAATTTAGAAAACGTAGCAGATACGCACCACTGCAATGGTTGTTGAGATTGGCCAGGCTAAGAATCACGAATATCAGAAAGCACAGCAACAACCAGTTTGTGCACAATGATTGGTGTGGTCATTTGACTGACCAGCTGTATGCTCAAATTTGGCGTTAAAATAATCCACACAAATTCTGACGCATCACATTTTGACAAGTACAGTTGCTGTGTAAGATATCACAAAACCCTGCCCTTATCTATGGGAATGTTTGTTTCAGATTTCTTCTTGATCAACCTGATTGTCTGTACAGCGGGTGCAGTGTGGATCACTGTCTACCCACCCACAGGGCTTGCTCACCTCATGGAGGTAACCATTTACAATTATGTTACTCGTGCTCACAGATTATTAGCAGTTCAGGGGAATAAAACACAGAAATTGAAGGAAAAGCAAAATAATCTAATCTAATGAGCCATTCACAGTTTCATCGTGTTCGAGTATCTCATTCACTATTGTGTAAAATACTAATGATTGTTGCAGGTGAAGACGTTCCCGTCCGTGCCCTACTCACTGGTGTACATTGGCATAGCTGTCATCAACTTCCTCCTGTCTGTTATGCTAGAGGTATGCCCATATCTGGTCCTTGTAAAATCTACTTCCTTAACTAGGTTCTTAAACCTTTGATCCTTTTAATGACATGACTATGTGTATAGAAGGTATGACTAGCAAAAGACACAAGTATGGCCGAGACAAACAATACTATGAACAGAGCTCACTTTTATCGACATGATTTTTGTACCTGGTAGAACATAAAATGATTACTTCATTGACTGAGGAAAAAAACAACATATGCAACCAAATGAATGATTGAGTGAGTCAGTATGGTTTTACAGAGCTTTTAGCAATATCATGATGGAGGACACCTGAAGTTGGCTTCACATATTGTACCTTTGTGGGGAATCTAACCCGGGTCTTTGGCGTGACGAGCAAACACTATTCACTTGTATAAATTATGATGATCATCTGTATTTCATCAACTGGCTTTAGCAGGCAAAATAGCTTGCTTTGAAGGACTTTGCTACTCAATCCATTTTATATCTTGAGATATATACTGAACAACATTAGAAATGCACCATCCATATAATACAAAATATCCCGTCAGACTGAAATGTACCCATGATATCTGAGCATTGCGGTGCATTTTAGTGGGGTGCGTTTCTAATGTTGTTCAGTTTATATATATCTCAGACTGGTCTTACATATTATTTCTCCTCCAGATGTTTTTGATGGACAACACGTCTGTGCGAGAGAAGTGCCGAGAGAAGGTCAAACACTGTCTTCCATCATCACAATTCAAATATGCTGCCATTGAACAAGAGATTGCAGGGAATCCGTCTTGGCCACCAGTGAGTCCATCAGCGGTCAATCTAGCCTTAGCATTCCAGAGACTGGACAGTGCTCACCATGTCCCAAAGGACCTCAACACTGCTACGAAGAAAGAAATCCTAGATGAACTCATTGAAGACTCCGATGTGGAGTCACGGAGTGTGAAATCTCTTGGCCAAGTGACCCCGGACACCAGAAGTATCAAATCTCTCAGTGGCGTGACCCTCGCTAACACAGGTCATACCCAGAATGCAACAGCAAGTTATCCCCAGAGACAGTTATCGGCAGAAGGTGGGGATTATTACACGGAGCCACTTCTGAAATCCGATTCTGATGTCAGGTTCCAAAAAGGAGAGACCAGTGTAGACGACAATGGCAAATTCATGACTACATTATGACAGAAGATACCAGGCAATTTGTTTCATGCAATGACTTTGTGGGGTGTACTGCTTGGATATTCATGACATGGTCAGAGAAAAGGGGAGGGAGTTGTTTATAGGTCTTATGTAATTTCACTTTTCTGGAAAAAGACTTGTTATAATTTTAAATGGATATTTTTCCTTTCTTTTGGAGGTGATTGTTACTTTGCATGATATCTGTGATTGCACAAATTTGTTGGAAGAATTACCACACACATTACATGCTGTGAGGAGTGGTGTACCTTTCCAACAATGTCAATAGCCTGTCTTTCCATGGTTTATAGAATAGATCATGCATGATATAGGAATGACATTTGTTTTTGAAATATTGTTGAAAGCAGTGTTACACCTTACTCTCAGTGGGGACTATTTTGACAAGGATGAGAATGGCTTTAGTAACACCGGTTAGTTGCAGTGCTATTGCATTCCTTTGAAGCAAGCACAAATTTTACAGCTGACCAACACTGTCAGAAACACCCCCCATATGGTTTTAAAATGACCAGAAATCGCACTAAATTAGCTTTGTACTGTTTTTCTTAAGCATGGTATACTATTGGGCTCAAATATATGATGCAAAATCCAGCAAGCAGTTATATGTGAAAGCCTCAAATATGAGGGTTTGAAGGACTCATTGAATTGTCATACCCCATATTACAGTCCACAACTTACAAAAATCACCATGTGTATACAATTTTAATATATGCCACAGTATTGTTGATATCTGACCTGTTACTACACAGTTTGTCTTCCTGAAAAGATATATGTTGATACTCAACCCCCATTTTGATATATACTACTGTATTGTTGACAGCTTAAGCTGACACTCAGCAAATTGTCTTCCTGAAAACACTCAGCTACTGTTCTTCCAGTGAGTGGACAACAGAACATATCATTGTTTTACTGGACACGTTTTGTGCCAGTGCAGTTGTTGCAACTTAGGTATGTAAGAATATCTGGACATGTGCATCTGTTATCAGACAAATTATGAAAGTGTGAAATCCATTACATGAATTTTGTGAAAGGTTGACATTGGGGGTCAATGGTATGTGAATCTGGGGACCTCCACAGTAATATGAATGATATGTTTATTTATTTAGCCAACCAGGGTATATTATAAAATTGAACATTATTGATGTCATAAATTACCTTTCCATCAAAAAATTATACAAACAGTGGGTGGAAAGATGGGATCAGCAAAATTAGATGGTCCAAAAATAATAATACCTTTCACAATATTGCATAATGTAAGTAATGTACATAGTTTAGATCAACTCCATATTGCTGTCTGTTTCTTGTGATTCTGTGGTTTTACTTTTGAAAGGGATGGTCCTATTTATTCCAGAAATACAATGATTATTATGAGGTCATTAAGTGATTATTATTCAGTTAGAATTCTATTCATTATTTTAAGGTTTATCCAAGTTTTGAGTGTAAGGTTCCCTGCAATACACTATCGTTGCTGTATGAACCTGTAACATCAAGGGTACATCAACCCATGGGCCCCGAAAGGACCAGTGAACAACGTATTTATCTTACCGAACACCTCAATTGTAATTTTGAACTGCTTGATCATAATATGGAGTACCGGTATTCGAGATAAAGGTACTAAATGAGTTTGGCATTCCCAGCTCAGCCAATCAGAAAACAACATTTATGTGTGATTTCCACCAGCATAATTTTACATATGTTTACTTATGTCCCTGTTGAATGATTGTAATAATTAACCTCACAGAATCGCTACATAAACTGCCTTTATTGTAGAACCATATACAGACGAAGGCCCCAAAACAAAATGCTATGCAATCCTGCTCTTACTTTCCCTGGATGCAGGTTGTTGATTGGATTTGAAGGAGACACAGATAGAAGCCTTTCAAAATGCTTTGTTATTGGGTATTAGAAAATTGGTCGCATAAATGCAATGGGTGTCCATGGCTAATGATCACAAACCAAGGGGAGTTCTTATTGGACCATGTAAGGCACTCAGGGACCAACTACTATCTGATAGAAATAACTTTGTACACAGAATGTATTCTTTATGATCAGACAGCAAAGTCTTGCCTATGCCCCCACCCCATACCACATGGTATACATAGTTATGCTCAATGATCATCAAACTTAAAAAAGAAGAAAAGATCAAGGGAAAGGGAATTTAAATGCAATATTATAGCTATATGTCAGCGGTTTATAAATAATCGAGTCTGGACCAGACAATCCAGTGATCAACAGCATGAGCAATTGGGATATCATTTATTTTGTGATAAGTATTAGATGTGTATGTGGTGGGAATGCCACCTCCTTAGTTAGAATATGAAGAGGAGCATAGGGCAGTGTTCTAAGAATATCTAATACCAGTTTATGTTGCCCATCAAAACTTGGAATTGAGAGAATGCAAATTAGTAATGCATAGTTCCTTACTAGACATTTGAGGGTCATGTAAAGTGTAGTGTAGTTTACTGTAGTACTTAGTTTTATGACAAGAACTTTAGATTTCTTTCATATAATTGTGTGTCCCTTTGGATGAAATGTATATTTTTCAATAATGAAATATGTAACATGTTTTGTGTTCAGTTCAGTTCAAGTGATGGGACACAATAATTAACTTCAGTCGACTGTTCTCATGTCACATGCTCAGAAAACTGCCTCTGTTATTAAGGTCACTGGTAACATGAATAGCAAAAGTCACTCCACAAATCTGCACAGACTGAAAAGCCCATTTAAACTACCGGTCTTTATGCTTTATGTCCAAGTGGGTGGCAGGGATAAGCAGGTTAATGTGGTCTGAGGCCTCACTTGGTTTGGCTGTGTTCCTGGTTTGGGAGAAAATTCATTGTTTTGCATTGTGTATTGCTTCAACTGCCAATCCTCCCAAATTATCCTCCCCTTAATACACAAGAAATGGTTTTAGTTTGTCACTGATTGTTTTTATTGTATATTTTTGTAGTAAGCCATAGGTTATAATCAGTTTATTAGAGGACTAAATCTCCAACAGTTTTAAAATAATATCAGTATGGTATATATTCCAGTTTCATATCATTTTCATAAATTTATTACCATACTGTTGATTGAATTCTTTTTTTATTTTTTATATTACATTTACAATTTGCTAATAGCAAAGTAAGTACTGTGGGTTATTTATGTTCCTGCAGCTCAGTCTATTTGAATCTATACTTTTTTATTTATCATTCACTCTTTACATTTCAGTTTCATATTTATTAGTTGCTTGAACCTATTTACCAAGATCATATTTATTCTGTTTTACTATTGCTGATTTACCGACTTATGCCTTCACATCTGTAAGCCATAAGCTGCATAACGTTTTTATTGCAAGTTGTAATGGAGGTATATCGAGTGTATATACAGAGATTTTTGTTTGTAGTTTGTAGAATACCATAGTATCCAAGCGTTTGTGATGATAGTACACAGATAAAAACAACCAACTTGTTATGAATTGTTATTGTTGTGAAGTACAGGTTAACGAAAACCAACCCTTGTGTGAAGATTGTTACATCCTATATTTTAGTCATAATGTCATGGCCCATGTTCCACAAGGCAATCTTATAATAATAATAATAATAATCAGGACATTTGTATAGCGCTGATCTCAACACCTTATGGGCATGCTCTAAGCGCTTACAACAGTTCCAAGTTATTTGTAATATCTTCCAAAGAGATAGGTTTTGAGATGAGCTTTAAATTAGAGACGTCAAGTGAGGGAGAGCATATCAGATCATAGGGAAGAGAGGTCCAAAGTACAGCTGATACATACTGGCAAACAAGGATAAGTGGGACCGGCGCAGAGAACGCGTTTACGAGAGGTAGGCGGTGCACGGCAATGAGCAAACCCATTTGGTTTGTGGAAGGTAGAGCAGATGTATGTAGTGCACATGCATTGCATGACGATGAAATTGATTCTGCATGTAGAGACAGGCCACATGCTTCACCCATCACACTACACTTGACCGCGGACAACCTGTGGCCCCTTCACAATGGCGGCACTCATACATGTTAATACGGGTCAATTGTCAGCTCGGTGCTCAACTTGTCCTTGTTTGCCAGTAGGAAGGAACACAAAGGAACGATGCTGGCAGACAGATGTTTGTAGGCATGGAGGAGATGTCTTTTAACTGTATCCTCTCTTCTGCACGTAGCCAGTGAAGAGATTTGAAGACAGGTTGAATGTGATCTCTTACCTTGACGCGATATGCTTGCTATGTGGAACTGGAGCCAGTCAAGCAATGTTGGAAGCTGTCATTAATATTATTTTTTTATTTATTATTTCATAAACTTAGATATTGCTTCTACTAAATGCTACATTCAACGAAACCAACATTAAAAGGTAGCAAAATAAATGTACTTTACAAAAATAATTGTTTTAGCTATGCATCAAATACAGTTGTTGACGTTGCAGTTTACAGATAAGCAGATACTACGTTATTGTCATGATAATCCCAGTACTTACAGATCAGATATTCTTTGAAGAGACAGGGCGTTTTGTTATTTAAAAAAGCTGGAATATACTTAGTTAACCCTGAAAATTCACTGAAATAATGTTTTTGTCATTGTTTTAGACTGCCTTTTTGTGTGTCTTCGGCCCCATCCATCCAGAATATTAAATGATTGGCTGGCAAACTGTTGTTTTATATTAGTTTGTTGTGTTTGTCATGTTATGTTCTCATCAGAAATATGGTAAGCTTTGTTTACATCTATCTAGTTTAAATGAAACCTGGAGCTTGCAACTTGAGACATTCTCTCTATGTTAGTAGGGCTTGACAGGGGCTCGATGTCATAATTCATCTCATGAGATTCATGAAAACTGTTATATATAGTTGTCCAAACAACTTGCCAATTGTTTATTGACAGGACACTTTTTATCCTCTGAGGTGAATTGTACATATATTTTTTATTAATTTTTAGCAAAATGGGGCCTGAAATCAATCTTGTCCCTTTTTCAAATCAAACATATTTAATTATTTTTTTCCCAAAATACAACTTTATCAAGGAATCTGTTGAAGTTACTCTAATTGTGGCGTTTTGTCAGATGGTTTTGTAAAGCTACTGCAAATAGTGAATAGTAATTCTCATTTGAAGCCATGTTTTATTCTTGATTTGATACCGCCCCATGAGATGGACCGAGATGTCATATTCTTTATTGATTTTATTACTGATCCACTTTGAGGTACTTTTCTCAGATAATAATGCTTTGTCCTGACACTCAGAACACATATTTCTCAGTAGTGAACAGCAATCTCTGTTGAGATTTTGTTTTGGTTTACTACATTTTTCATGTATACTGAAAAGCAGATTAAAAAATATGACATATTAAATAGTTTGTTTTATGTCCACTCGGCAATTTTCCAGCTGTAAGCTGATTTATATATTGAGCAGGGAACCAGGCTGTTGGGGAACGAATCCTGTTGATCAGGTAAATAAGTTGGGGAGCAATTGGAGTGTCATCACTCAGAATGTACCCCTGGAAGTATTGAGTGAGTGATTTAACCTATGGTTTCCTACTTAAGAACATAACATAGATGGCCTCGTCCTCAACATAACAGATAGCATTCATCAATATGGCACAAAATTGGTTGATGGACCACCAGCTGTCCTCAATGTCCTAGTAGTTCACCCAAACTACGGTGAGATGAGGTGAAAGTGGGTTTTAACGTCGTGCTTGAGAATATTTCGCTCATATGACGTGGTCGGGGATCGAACCCGCGACCTTCCACTCTCCAGGCGGATGCTCTAACCACTACACCACGGAGGCGGTCTCCCCAAACTACGGGGATGTGGATAGATGACGATTGTGAAAGTGCACCAATGTGAAGGGTCAATGACGTTTTGAACCAATATGCCAAGGACAAGAGCCTTACCTTCACGGAGTCTTCTGGTCTGTTTTGCTCAAACCATTCCCGAACCTTTCCCAGAGTTAATCCTTCTGTTCTGCTGCCAATGGGTATCCCT